TTTTCTCTAGCATTGTTTTAGCATTGGGAAGTGTTCAGATTACGAGAATAGCTCACATACTACCATTTTTTTAAAAAAATATAGCTTTTCTGATTTCAGAGAGAGGAAGGAAGAGAGAGAGAGAGAGAGAAACATCAGTGATGAGAGAGTCATTGATTGGCTGCCTCCTGCATGCCCCCTACTGGGGATCGAGCTCGCAACCCGGGCATGTGCCCTGACCAGGAATTGAACCCCGATCACCTGGATCCTGGGTTGATGCTCAACCGCTGAGCCACGCTCGGCCGGCCACTACCATTTTCTTATGAATATCATATTCCACTGGGTTTCTAATTGAATAGTAGTAATTTTTTTGTCAATATGTCTCTTAATTCATATTCGTGCATATTGGTATTATAGGCTGAATTAAAGTAGACTCTTCTTTAGTTGTAAATTCATGACATCATCACCTATGACCAAACCTAGTACCCTGCAGTAACTGCAGGACTCTGGTACTCACCCAGGGAAAGGAAGAGCAGAAATAGTGTCCACTGTGTTCTGGATTCTGAGCTGCCTACTTTACAAGAGTTCCCACTTTCAATCCTAAAGATCTAATGCTTTAATTCATTTTTACAGATGAATGTGAGACTCCTGGAGATTAAATTATGAGCTCAGGGTCACAAACTCTGTAACCAGCCTCTGTGGGATCAAATTGTGGCTTTGTCACTTACTAGCTGTGTTGACCTTTAGCAAATTACTTGACCTCTGTGGGCCTCAGTTTCTTCATCTGACCTGTAAAATGAGCATAATAATAGTACTTAGCTCATGAAGTTGTTACGATGATTAAATGAATTAATATAATGCAGTAATATTTGTTGTTCACATAGAACAATACCCGACACAACAAGTGATTATTAACTAAACAAAATATATAACTGATATTTTGAATCCAGGTCTTTCCAGTTCTAAAACCTGTGCTCTTCCCATTGTCCCAGTATACTGCCTCAAAAGTATTCCAGGACCCATGTATTTCACATATTTTTGTATGTTTGTGGCCATTATTAGTTTTTTTTAAGAAGCAAATAGTGTCTAGAAAGTGTCTGATCCTTCGTTTCTTTATGTACTTCCAGACACTTGGTAAAAACAAGTTTCTTACTTTGCAAATTTTTTTTATGGAGGCAAATGAGTTAGGCTTGTGATGAGCTGAATAGTTGTTTTAAAAGTATTGCCATTTTGATCTATAATTTTTTTAAAAAAAATACGTCTTTATTGATTTCAGAGAGAGGAAGGGAGTGGGAGAGAAAGAGATAGAAACATTAATGATGAGAGAGTCATTGACTGGCTGCCTCCTACATGTCCCCTAANACATTAATGATGAGAGAGTCATTGACTGGCTGCCTCCTACACGTCCCCTAATGGGGGTCAAGCCCACAACCCGGGCATGTGCCCTGACCGGGAATCGAACTGTGATCTCCTGGATCATAGGTTGATGTTCAACCGCTGAGCCATGCCAGCCAGGCCTGATCTATAATTTTTACTTCTTTTTTTATTTTTCTTATTATAGCAAGAACATTTAACATGTATAATACAAGGTTGCACATCAGGCCTCTGGAATTTATTCATCTTGCGTAACTGTTGTTGCAACTTCCCCCATTATTTTAAGTGTCTCTCCCTCTGGCTGAAGTGACTTCTAGGTCTGAGGTCCTCCCCTTCATTTTTTCATTTTTCTTTTTAGGAGCTAGACATGAAAGAATCTGACATTAAAAAACAACTGCATATATGGGAAAATTAGGAAGTAACTGCACATACCCAGGGAGAGGCTCAGAAAAAAACCTGAGAAGATGTTAAGTTTACATNATTAGTAAGTAACTGCACATACCCAGGGAGAGGCTCAGAAAAAAACCTGAAAAGATGTTAAGTTTACACCTCAGGCTGATCCTCAGCACAGAGACAGCCTACCACAATAAAATACTCTCTCTCCCGCACGCTCGNATTAGTAAGTAACTGCACATACCCAGGGAGAGGCTCAGAAAAAAACCTGAGAAGATGTTAAGTTTACATCTCAGGCTGATCCTCAGCACAGAGACAGCCTACCACAATAAAATACTCTCTCTCCCGCAGGCTCGCTTGCACACGCACACACACACACACACACACAACAGCCAGCTGTGGGGAAGGGGTAGGATCTGATTTCAAGAAATACATCGTTATTAGATTCAAATGTCCAGTGTTCAACAAAAGTTCACAGGTCATAAAAAGAAACAGGAAATTATTGTCCATTAAAGGAAAATATAAGTCATCCCAAACTGTCCATGGAAAAGCTCTAAAGGCAGATACACTAGACAGGACTTTAAAACAGTTGTTCTAAAGATGCTCGGAGAACTAAAGGAAGTTGTGGAAGAAGTCAGGGAGTGATTATGAATAAAATGGGGATCTCAATATAGAGATAGAAAAACCTAAAAAGGAACCAGCAAGAAGTTTTGAAGCCGAAAAGTACAATAATAAAAATGCAGGATTCACTAGACANAATATAGAGATAGAAAAACCTAAAAAGGAACCAGCAAGAAGTTTTGAAGCTGAAAAGTACAATAAAAATGCAGGATTCACTAGACGNATCTCAATATAGAGATAGAAAAACCTAAAAAGGAACCAGCAAGAAGTTTTGAAGCCGAAAAGTACAATAATAAAAATGCAGGATTCACTAGACACATTCAAAAGCTGGTTTTTAAACAAGCAGAAAAAAGGGTCTGAATTTCAAGCTAGTATAATGGAAATTATTGTTGCTGAGAAACAGAAAAAAAGGGTGGAAGAAAAGCGAACACCATCATGTGGACCAACATGTACACTGTGGGAGTTCCAGAAGGAGAAGATAAAGATAAAGGGGCAGAGGGAATATTTGAAGGAATAATAGCTGAAGACTTACCAAATTTGTTGCAGTACATGAATATGAACATCCAAGAAGCTCAATGAACTGGTAATATGAACCAGTGAGACTCACACCATGATACAGAGTGTCTTCTTTGACCACAGTGTGGTTAAGTTGAAATCAGTAACAAGTAGAAATGGAAAATGCGCAGAATCGTGGAAATTAAACAAAATACTTTTAAAGAACCAGTGGATTAAATAAGAAATCACAAGGGAAATTAATAAATACTAGAGATGAACGAAAAGAAAACTAGAACATACCAAAAGTTATGGGATACAGTGAAAGCACTGCTAAAAGTGAAATTTGTAGCTATAAATGCTTAAAAAATGTGAAAGATCTCAAACAAACTAACTGTACAACTTGAAGAATTATAAAAAGAAGAAACTAAACCCAAAGCTGGTAGAAGGAAGGAAATAATAAAGATTTGATTAGAAATAAATGAAATAGTGAATATAAAGAGTTTGTTCTTGAAAAAGATCAGCAAAATTGACAAATGTTTAGTTGGGCTAAGAAAAAATAAAGAAGACTCATTACTAAAATCAGAAATGGAAGTGGAGATACCACTTCTGATTCTGTAGAAAGAGGATTATAATGCAGGACTGTGAACAATTGTACACCCAAAATTGGACAACCTCGATGAAATGGGAAAATTTCTAGATACAAAACCTACTGGTGCAGCTACTGTGGAAAACAGTATGGAGTTTCCTCAAAAAATTAAAAATGGAACTGCCTTATGACCCAGCGATTCCACTTCTGGGAATATATCCAAAGAAACCAAAACACTGATGTGAAAGAATATATGCACCCCTATTGTTCTGGCAGTGTTATTTGCAATAGCCAAGATTTGGAAGCAGCCCAAGTGCCCATCAGTAGATGAGTGGATAAAAAGGCCGTGGGACATTCACACCATGGAATACTACTCTGCCCTAAAAGAGAAGGAATCTTACCCTTTGTCACAGCACGGAGGGACCTGGAGGGTATTGNCCCTAAAAGAGAAGGAATCTTACCCTTTGTCACAGCACGGAGGGACCTGGGGGGTATTGTGCTAAGTTAAATAAGCCAGTCAGAGAAAGACAAGTGCCATATGATTTCACTCCTATGTGGGATCTAATGAACAGAACTAACAAACAAAATAGAAACAGACTCAGAGAGAGCAGACTGACACCTGCCAGAGGGGAGGGGTTTGGGGGGGGCTGGATGAGGTAGGTAAAGGGATTAAGCAAAAAAAGACCAAAAACAACAGACTCATAGACACAGACAACAGTAGGTGATGGCCAGAGGGAAGGGGGTGGGAGGTAGGAGAGGGTGAACGAGGGATAAATGGTGCGGGGAGGAGACTTGACTCTGGGTGGTGCACACACCATACAATACATAGATGATGTAGAATTGCACGCTTGAAACCTATATAATTTTATTAACCAGTGTCACTCCAATAAACTCAATGATTTTTTTAAAAATCTACCAAGATTAAATCACAAATAAAAAACCAAAAAGACCTAGTATGGAGATTGAATCAGTAATCAAAAATCTTCCAACAAAGAAAAGTCCGGGATCTGACTACATTGCTTGTGAATTCTACCAAGAGTTTGAAGAAGTAATACCATTTCTTCTCAAACTTTTCTAAAAGACTGGGGAGGAGGAGAGGATATACTTCCTAAGTTGTTCTGTAGGCCAGCATAACCCGATACCAATGACAGCCAAAATGTCTAATTATTCGAGTGGTATAGATTAAGAATACAATTTTTTTAGTACAGTTGATTAACAGTTTTAAAACCTTGTTTTTATGAAAACTTAATTTGGAAGATTTTTGCCCTCGATACATGTTCTTAATACCTATCAGTGAAAAGCGTGGGCTGTCTTTGGGAGTGATTATTGTAAGTATTGTGTAGGGGTGAGGCGAGGGGGAAGGGTGGGCATTCTTTTTTTGAGTTTTATAATACCATATTGTTTGAGTGTTCTTTTTTAAAGCAATGAGTATATTCTTCTTTTATTAAAATGATAGAAAATATTTTTAAATCACGTAATGACATAAAGGTAAACTTTTAAAGATGTCCTCATGATTAAACTCATTTTGTGCTTTTATTAATTTTGGTTCCAGGCTTGTGTGGACGTCAGATCCAGTTCAGTGTTTTGGCAGCAGCTGGAACTTGTAGATACCCTCTCTGGTGATCCCAAGTTGCCAGAATGGTTATCCACACATCCTTCTCATGGAAATCGAGTTGAGCACTTGGATAGACTCATACCTGAGGTGAGCTAACACTATGTAAGGCAAGACATTATTTTTACGGTGTCATTTTTATGCTGCTACTACTTGTGCTTAGAGAAAGAGTTCTAGCTTGTCAACTGTTTTGATCACTATAATTATGGATTCTCAGTTTTCAAAGGATTTGACTGAAAAGTAAAATCCTTCTTGTCCACAAGCCTTGGGGAATAAATTGCTGTGTAAAGTTGACTTTTCTTGATGGTGAAGGCTTAAGCTTTTTAGTATTATAGCTTTTAATTTTATCTGATTTGGTGAAAGTCTAAAACTCAAGGCATATTTTTTCAACATACTGGTTATAATTTCATATTTCCTTGGTGATTTAAGCTTACTGTTTTTTTAAAAAACACACCGAAATACTCCAGTTAATGACCTGTACAAAATTTTTTGATCAAATGGGTATTAATTCCAATAACAATGCTGGAATTTTTCTTAGAAAAAAAAATCCCCTGATATTAGTTTGCTTGCTGGTTATTTCTTTCTTTAAAGCATGGGTGGCTCTTTTTTTTTTGGTAGAATTCATTAATGAATAAAGCTAAAGCAGCTTTTTCCCAAGTAGTTTCCACTATCTCCTAAAAATCTTTTTATTTGTTAACATCATTTAAAATGTTTTCTGTGGTATCCACATCAGTACAAGATGGACGTCAGACATCTCCAAACCAGTCTACACGCTCTTTTTGTCTCACTCGCATTGCCAGTATGACTTCAAATTTAGTTTAACAGATATTGAGTACCTATTATAAGGAAGCGGTATGGTAGATACAGGGGATACAAAGAGAATTAAGACATGGTTTTGGTATTTTTAGGATGCTGACATAAGTACAAAGTGATTCTTAATGCAACAAGGAATATGGTTTATTACAAGAAAAGTAGAAATATAGTGGTATGCAATTTGAAGGCATAGCCTGCGTCTAGTTTGGGATAAGAAACTACCAGGAGATTCATTCATTGATTCATGTGATTAATAAAAATCCACTAATAGTTTACTATTCTGTATTCTGTTGGTAGAAACAATACAGCCTCTTCTTTCTTGGAGCTAACATTCTTGTTAATGCAAGTAATAAACAAACAAACATACATTGAGTATGTCAGGCAGTAATAAGCATATTGGCGAAAAATAAGGCAGGGTGAAGGCAGGCGAGAGGGCTGGGCAGCAGAGGGGGCGAACTGGCCTACGTTGTTTGTCAGGGAAGGCCGTGCCTAACAACCTGGAAAGCAGCCGGGGACCAAGTCCTGTGGAATCCGGGGAGAGTCTTTCATGCTGAGGAAGCAGCAAGTGCTTAGCAGAGTGTGTCTGGTGTGTTCGAGGCGTGGCAAGGAAGACATTGGGGCTGAGTGAGTCAAGGAGGGGGAGAATGGTTGAGATATGTGGGGACCAGACCATGAAGGGTCTTCTTAACCATTGTAAGGACTTGGCTTTTATTCCAGGTGATTTGGGAAACTAGTAGAGGATTTTGAGCAGAGGAGTGACTTGGTCTGACTCACGTGATGACTCCTTCCGTGTTTTACAGTGGTCATGGGGGAAGATGGTACCTGTGTGGAGAGTGGACTGTCGTGGGGCAAGGGTGGAATCAGGGAGGCTGCTTGTGAGGCTCTTGCAGTAATCCTGTTAAGGGATTATAGAGGCAGAAGAGAGGGAAAGAATGATGAGATTTTGGATATATTTTGGAAAGAATGATGACAGGATTTGTTGCTAGAGTGGGCATATTTTGTGCCTGTCATGGGCATTGGGGCCAGCCAGACATGGATTAAGAACTATCCTAAATAAATTTCATTTATACCCTTAATTTGAAGAAAACATATTTGAGAAAAAAATAACAGTGACATTTACTTGACACGCTGTAGGAATTATTCATCTTAAAAGAACAACATAGGAAGGGACAATATGTGTTTCATCACTGATTGATTTGTACTGAAGATCACTGACCCTAAGGGCCTTCTTAGTGCTACCCAAGACTCAGGGAACTTATATCACCCTAGGAGGCTTAGTCTGTCTCTAAAGCCATAATAACCATATGGTTTTCTCTTGGAATTCTTTTTCTTTCTGTTTTTGCTCAGTGAAATTCTAAAAATATGTGGTTTACTTAAATTGGATAATGAATTTTAGCCAACTTTCATCTAAATTCTGAGTTTTCATTTCATCATCGAAGATTAAACTAAGGATCTTCAGAGAAGTAAAAATGTGCTTTAGAGAAGTCTTTACAATAATAATGAATTGATTAGTGAGTATGAAGAAAAATGATTGGAGAAATAAATATGTTACTTGGGTGCCAGTGCTGAAGAAAACATTGGGAGATATTTTTTTCTAAAAATAAATTACTCTAATTCAGAAACTTAAATTGAAAACCTTATATAATTTCTTATATTCCCCCCCTCCCCAAGTGATTAAATTCAATTTGAAAGTAATAAAACTCTGCTACAGTATTGGGAATAATTCAGTGGTTGAAGTGAAACTTATAGTTAGTATAAGAGTGTATTGTTAATTAGAATACATAGTCATAATTCCGAGATTGGAATTCCCTACTATCATTTCTAATTTCTCTAATGAAAGAAAGCAAATCCTCAGGCAGTATATAGAATTATGTGAGTCTATATACTACTAAAGACTACATTTTTTGTTTGATTTTATTTAAGATTTTTTTTTTCTGTGTAAGTTAGTACAATATATTCTACCTAATGCTCCTGTTCTTTGAAATGATGTACATCACACAGGTTGTCTGGCTGAGAGCACAGAAATCTAGGCCAGAGATGAGGATTTCAGGGTAACCCCAAAAGAGGTGATAGTTGAAGCCGTGAAAGTGGATCAGTTCATTTAGAGAGTAAGCAGAGAAAAAGGCCTCGGATAGAGTTAATGATATTAAGTGGTTTCCTCATTTAATTTGTAGAAGGAAGACAGAGCCCATAGTTGGTCAGATTCGTAGGGAGAGAAAAGATCAAGAAAATCAGGAAAGTAAAATTCTTTGCTTCCATGAGAACATAAATCTTGGTAGTTTTGATTTTTTAAAAATATAACTGACGATTGTGTATTTTTAATTTCTTATTGGATTCTTCAAATATCATCACAGAAATGTGTTATTTTTACTAAACATATCAACATTTAAGATGTTTTAAAACCGTATGCATTTAACAAATATATATTAGTCATCATTTATGTGCCAGATTGTAGGTGTTGTAGGGGCTGTGAACAAAATAGACCCCAAAACCTGCCCTTATGAAGCTTATTTTGCAGTAGAGAGAGACAGACAATAAATAGAATAAATTAGTAACATATAGAATAAATCACCAGTATATTATTATATCTTAGTCAATAGTAAGTATTAGGGAGGAAAACAGGAGGAAGAACAGTGGATTAGTCAGCCTGGGCTGCCGTCACAAAATACTGTAGCTGGGTGGGGTAAGCGCCAGGAGCTCGTTTCTTCAGCGTCCTGAAGGCTAGCAGTGCAGCGTTAAGGTTCCGGCCCGTTTGATTTCTGGTGAGGTCCCCTCCCGGCTGCAGATGCGGCCTTCTCGCTGNGCGCCAGGAGCTCGTTTCTTCAGCGTCCTGAAGGCTAGCAGTGCAGCGTTAAGGTTCCGGCCCGTTTGATTTCTGGTGAGGTCCCCTCCCGGCTGCAGATGTGGCCTTCTCGCNTAGCAGTGCAGCGTTAAGGTTCCGGCCCGTTTGATTTCTGGTGAGGTCCCCTCCCGGCTGCAGATGCGGCCTTCTCGCTGTGTCCTCACATGGGGAGAGAGTGGACACACTGGTGTCTCTTCCCCTTCTCCGAAGGGCAATGATCCCATCACGAGAGCCCCACCCTCATCTTAATCGAGTCACCCCCAAAGGCTCCATCTCCAGATCCTTGGGGGTGAGGGTTTTAACACATGAATCTGCGGGGGAAACGCTTCAGTCCATAGCAAGTGAGTAATGTGTGAGCAGAGATGGCAGAAGTGCTGGAATAGCTGTTTGAAAGGGGGTTGATCAGAGCTTCACTGAGCAGTTGGTATTTGAACAAAGACTTGAAATAAGTGAGAGTCTTCCCCTGGGGGGCTGAGGGGAGCAGGGGTGGGGTGAGAGCTTTCCAGGTTAGGAAATGTGAGTGCAACGCTCTGAGGCAGGAGGGGGCCTGGCGTCGCTGAGGAACAGCCAGTGCGCTGGGATGGAGCGAGCAGGGAAAGTGGAGGGTGCGGCCCCGTCGCCCCGTAAGGACTCCAGCTTGTGGTCAGGGATAGGACACCCGTGGAGGGTTTTCGGCAGACGACTAGGGAGTAACAGGATCTGACTTACATAGGGTGTGATCTACAGTTCCTGTGGAGTAGTACAATCATATCATTTTGGAGTATTTTAGTACAGTGCATTGTTTAGAAAACAGACTAGTTCCTTTTCTTGATTTTGTTTTTAAATCAAGAAAATGCCTCTAAAGTAGAAAACAACATATTCCTGCTCTCTTTTAAAATGTGAATTCTGAGATAAAGCATTTGCCAATGCCTAGTTAAATATAATGCTGTGATCCACGGGCATTTAAACAGGATAAATATAGGGTTGTAGCGATGATATTATTTGTAGTTAATAAGATGATATCTTGTAATTTTATTTACTTGAAATAATCAGTTAAATTTAGGAAACACATATTTTGGTTACCATAACAACTTGGGTGAAAAATTGAAGAACAGATGTTACATCCACCTGTTGATGTTTAATGGTATGATAGTGTTACAATTACTGTTACATTGTTCAGAATTTAAATTTGTGTATACCATAAGTTGTCCTGGAAAGAGATATCTTTTAAAACTTACTTTCTATAGGATTGTTATAAATATGAATGTATGTGAATAAGGGAAATTGTATGATAACCTAGGGTAAAAAAGTCACTTGAAAGATTTATTTTATAGCTGAATTTAGACTGAATTTTTTATTTTCTACCTCTCTCACCAACTCTTTGCCATCTTTTCCTTGGGGTGGGGGGAGGAGATGGAGAGTGATAAAATATAAAGGAAAAACATTTAATTTGGAC